AGTAGAAATATTCTTAACTCACTCAGACACACGTTCACCTTTGTTGGCACCACCTGAAGGGAGTTTGTGTATTTTAAATGAGTATTTCTTAGCAGGTTTGCTCATTACAGTTGATTTTTTTTTTTTTATTGTTTGCAAGTGTTCAGTTTTAGATTAGCTGTTCTGTCTCATGTGATGTGTGGTATTGATCGTGGACAGATTTAAGGAGGTCAGAAGAATAAAAAAATTTCTCACAACACAAAGAGCTGACTCACTCTTTAGATGTCCCTGCCTCAGTAAGTACCAATGGTAAATACAGACACTCCAAAGCCTCCTGACACTGCAAATACTTATTTTAATGTTAATTAAATAATGCTTATTTTTCATTTATTTCTGTTTTGCTTTGTTTTTCCCCAGTTCATTAGATACCTGAGTATAGCTGTTGCCTATCTGTATGACCACAGTGTACCCATCTTCTGATGGCTGCTTCCAGCAGGATAACATGCTGTGCCACATATCTGGTATCTGGTATCATGAAGAGGACAATGAGTTCACTGTACAGTCACTGTGTGATGCTGTCATGCCAATGTGGAACAAAATCCCTGAGGAATGTTTGCAGAAACTTGGGTGAATCTGTGCCATGAACAATTAACTAAAGTAGGTCCACCCTGGTGGTAGCATGGTGTACATAATGAAGTGTACAATGGGAGTACAACCAAGAATAAAAATGCACTGATTCTGTCTTTATTAATACAGGAATAAACGACTACAGGACCAAAATAAATAAAACGATGACCTGCTTTGTTTGTCCTCCTTACAGCTCAGTGTGGGAGTCTTTCCTCCAGTTATTTACAGTCATGTTAGTTTCTCCTTTCTCCGCTCTCAGTCTCTGTGATGCACCTCCTCACACACAGGGTGGAGCAGACAGACACAGGAGAAGGCAAATCATATTAATGATGTGCTCTACAGCATGTTACTGTAACCATAGCGAGAGCTTCCCAAAAAGTGTTAAACCAAGCCTTTTAGTGGAGTCGGTTCAGTTTGCAGCAGTTGCTGGGGAGTAAAAAACGTTTGCAAACATCAAAGAAAACCTGTCAGTGCAGCAGTATCCAACTTCTCCACACTGCTGACGCCTAGTTTATGAAACACAGAACACAGAGCTCAGCCCGATTCAGCTTTTTGAGTCAAATATCAGACTGCCAAATCCCTGTTTTTCTCCGATTTTGTTCCTTTGTGTACACATTTTACAAAAATGTAAAAATCAAAACACTGAAACTGTACAAAAGTATAAAAATATTTCATGTTTTCTTTTTCACAGAAAGCTTGTAACACCTATTAAAACCTGCTTCTCACGCAGAGAACAGAATCGTTTATTCAGTCAATCATCGTCACCTGCCACATGGAGATGGGGCTGGTTCTCGTACAAGGTTTTCCGCCGAGCACCAGCAGCAGGTCGGGCAGATGCTGAGTGATGTCTCCATCCTTGCCCTCCAGCGCCTCCTCCTCTGAGCAGCTCCAATGTTTCATGAATGCTTTGTTCTCAAATGTCAGGCAGCTTCCAATACGCTGACCATCTATCTCTATTAAGGCCTCTCTGCTGGTCTCCAGTTCTGAAGAACTTCTGTTGGCTTCTCTGTCTGGAGTGAAAGTCTCCAGCTCTATAGCGTTATCTGGTGCTGGGAAGCACTTGTTCTTAAACGGCTTGAGTTTCCCTCCCAGTAACCTGGGCTGGAGTCCTGAGTCTGAGCAGAAGCTCTTGCTGGTGCTACTGGTTTTGTAGCTGGGACCCAGACCAGTGCAGCAGTGGTGGATCTTGTCTGGGGGGTTGGAGCCCGGGAGTGTGGTGAGCTGCATCCAGGTCTGAGTGATGAAGCTGTATCTCCACAGGCAGTTCTTTGGAGAGTCCTGGGTCTCGCCTCCACCGAAAAGGAGCATTGAATCTTTATAGGTGACAGCTGAGTGTCCTGTGAGTTTAGGAGGGCCGTACCTGAGAAAAAACAACCACAGGTGGTGTTTGCAGGAAAGAGCACACCAAATGATGCCAAATAAGTTTAGCTGTCAGTGCTAAAAACATCAGAGCTAAACTGACCAGTCAGACAGGAAGTGCTGTTTGGACCACAGTTGTGCCTGAATGGGAGAATAGCTGGGAGCACCAGGAGCTGTAGTCGATAAACTGCTGATCCATGTGTGATCGTACTCTCTGCCTTGCACAGCGTGTGTGATAATATTTCTATATGGCGTGTTGCGCCATGTTACTTTATTAAAATTACCCCTGGATATAAAACACATCATTTGCACAGTTAAACCTGGGATGATAAATCTATTTCTGACACAGATGTGTCACTCATCGTATTTAAAGGAGGCCCTGAAGGACGGACATCTCTTTTTGTTGAACACCAGCTGCCTTGATTCTTCTCCTTGTGTCTCTTCCTTGCCTCCTCTACTCTCTGTGGTAGGGAGGGGCTAAGACTAATATGCTAAGAGAGGAACTGAGGACACAAAAGAGGAGGGAGGCAAATGATCTGTGGAAAAACATCTTAAAAAAATAGATGAGTGAGGTGTTGAGTTTAATACTGACTCTTGTGTGTTTTGAGGACACCAAAAAACTGACTGCAGATACATCTGTGTGTCACAGCAGACACTACAAGCTTCCTGTCCCCTTTTTCCTTTCCTTTTGCCAAAGCCCTTTTCACACTTTGGGAATTAAAGCTGATATATCACAGATTAGAAAAAAAGTGAGTCTATTTGTGGTACGTTTGTCACCAAGAATATGCAGACAGTAAAATTTCCCTTTGATCTGGATGCAAACTTGATTTCCAAGTCTCCTTCATCAGTTTCAGAGCTCTAATGCGCAGTGATTTCTGTGACGTGCACCTCTGATAATGTCTTTGAATTAAGTTGGAAATTTCAGGAACCCTGCCATAAAACGCCTCTAAACCAACCAGAGAAAGTTTGGAGGGGAGGTGAGAAACAAACAATTACATCTGCATCTTAAGCTCTCATATTTTTCTCAGACTTTACCTAAATGTAACTGTAACGGTTTACAATCTACAAAGTCAGGTTATCAACATTAGAAATCACAAGACCTTCCAGTAACATTGTGTCATTAGGGTCACACTGTCTGTCTGGTTTTTTTCCATTTGCTGTATGATACCAGTGCCTCAGGGGGCAAAAACAAGTGACGTTAGTCCTGACTATACTGCTGACCAGCTAATCATTAGTCCTGATAGACTGCTGTTCATGTTCATAACGCCAGACAAATCAGTCCACTCTGATGATCTGTTATCCACAAGTCTTTACATGTAACATATTCAGTCATCCAGAACAAAAAAACAAAAAAACAAAAAAAAAAGTCTCCAGATGTAAATCTCAGTGATCTGAAGCTCTTTATATACATAAATTTACGTATTACTAAACTATTAAAGAGACGGTTCCTCAGGACTCTTTCTTTCCTTTTTTTTTCAACAGACACACTACAATCAGTGTTTCCACCTCACATGTCAGCCTGTCAGCACGAGACAGCAGCAGCTGAAAAGTGATCCCAGTCTTTTCAGCCGCTGCTGAAGGATTCTCTGTCTCATCAACTGGATCAGGTTCTTCTGCCATGTTATGTTATGTGGGAATATTCAGATGGGGAGCTGTGTGACAAAGTGGCTAGGAGAGAAGTCATTTGCCATTTGTCACTTGTGTATATTGTTATTCTGTGTTCTGTTATCCTATAGTCTATCATAATGCTTTAATGTAAACACAGCACATGTAACCTTGGCTCTACATACTATCCCGGGTCTGTTTGTGGTAGCATTGGTTATATTCATTTCATCTGTGCAAATGTACTTAAAGCTAAATGTCACTTCATCATTAATTGATTTGAATCTTTCATTTGTTTATGTAGTTTGGTTATACTTTCCATTGTGTGTTCCTCTGGACAGGTCCTATGTGTAAAAC